TCAGTACTTCTTAAGCAACTTGTGTGAGAAGAAATCATAGGGAGGAGGGAGAAAACCTGTTTTCTGCTAACCTGGGGACTAGGATGTGGAACAATGGCTTCAAACGATAGGAAAGGAGATTCCACCAGAACATTAGGAAGAACTTCCTAACTGTGAGAGCTGTTCGGCAGTGGAACTCTCTGCCCTGGAGTGTGGTGGAAGCTCCTTCTTTGGAGGCTTTTAAAGAGAAGCTAGTGGAACTCTCTGCAGTGGAACTCTCTGCCCTGGAGTGTGGTGGAAACTCCTTCTTTGGAGGCCTTTAAATAGAAGCTAGATGGTCATGTCAGGGGTGCTTTGAATGCCATTTCCCTGATTCTTGGTAGGGGGTTGGACTGGATTGGCCCACGAGATCTCTTCCAACTCTAGGATTTTATTATTCTATTATATAATCTTGTCTATTGACCCTGTTATGTATGCTCCAGCAATCACCTACACTACAGTTCTTACTGCAGGAATGGATATTTGCCTTCAAAAGGAATTATGAATGTGCAAGGAATGACAAGTCAGATTTACAGCTCCTGAAATAACAAAACCCCTTTTAACATGCTCCATCAGTGCTTGAATTACTGACCTACATACAAGTTAAACTAAGAGGAATTTGCTTATCACTAACGACAATTTCTTCATTGGTTGCATTAGTGTCCTGTCTTTAGTAGCCACCAAAACAGGAAGTGAAGCACCATGCTTTTCCACCTGAATTTCTAGTTCTTTCTTAAAAAATCTCCAAATAGGGAAGATCTTTTAGTAATACACACGTTTCCAGGGCACAACTAAGCATATGTGAAAAGTACTTGGCTGGCACAATGCTGGAGAGGGAGACAGCCAGCAAACCTGGGGAGGAACTGAGTTTGTGTGTGTGTGTGTGTGTGTATTTGCCAGCTGCATTTCTGCTGTTCAGTGACCTGTATGCCTTGCACTGTTAGAACATACAGATGAGCCTTCCCTGGAAAGGAGCAGAAATTCCTTAGCCAGATGGCAGAATTAAAATGACCTTCACCTGGCCTTAATCTATGTGAAGCTGTTTGGACATCCGAGATCTACAAAAATAATAATAGAAGAGAAAAATGTACACCCTTGGCACAAAGCAAAGGAAACCTCTTTTATTCTCAAAGGGCTTTTCAGTTCAATGACTTGGAATTCTATTGCAGAGGCTTTTTGTCTTGTTGTTGTACAATTTGTAATACAGTAGCAATGTATCTAACTTCTGAATGTTGGTCCAAAACTAACAGCAGTGAAAAGAACAAAATGTTCTCCAATACATAAATATATTTACAAATGCAAAGATCAAGTATATGCATTTACATTTTATTCTATAGTTCTATGGTGCAATCTCAAAATGTCCTAAATACTCTCTCCGGTCTATTACATTAGCTCTGCTCCTCTTATTCGTCATGCTCCTTTTCTTTTGTTGGTGTTGCAAAGTCCAGTGGGCATCATAGCAGCTTCATAGACAGAGTTTATAAGCAAAGGTATCTGTGTTGATCCATATCAACAAACGTTTGCATACTCATGTGGAACTGATTTTTTTTTGGTAAAAGTAATGGATCCTATCTGTTCAAAACCAAACAGGTCATAGTAACAGGGATGTAAAGTTGTTGTATGCCTTCATATATTTTTAGACTCATGGAGACACTAAGATGCATCTATCATGGGGTTTCCTTTGCAAGATTTATTCAGAGGGGTTTTTTCCTTGCCTTTTTCTGAGTTTCCATGGCCAAGCAAGGATTGAACCCTGGTTTTCCAGTGTCCTAGTCCAATATTCCAATAATATTGCCTGTAAAATCCAAAACCATTCCCTGTGCAGACTGCTGCAAAACTTAGATAAAACAATGAAACCTGAGGGATAGTGACTAATGTGACCATTCCCATTAATCAAAAGTTGAGGCACTTTGGCTCCATGAGCCCTGGCTTCACTGCACCACTTGTCTGCTCCCTTGGACTTCTGCAAAGCACAGAACCAGTTTAGACATGTAACATCTTTAAATTATTTAAGAAAAATGAAAAATTCAATTCAAGTTTTTTTTCACTTTCTGGAAACATCCTGGCAACTTTCCCTTTCAGGATGGACTCATCTTCTACTTTACAGATGGCAGTGTTCAATATGTCTTTGAGTTTCTAATTCATCAGATTTAAAGATAAAGACCCAAAAGATGGAAAAACAGGCACACAAATCACCGTTATCATTTTCCCACTATGATTAAATGCATTGTATTCCTATTTTGATTACAGTAATTACTTCTAAGTGTGCATCTGTACATATGAATTGCTGTGCAATTTTTATGGAAATAAGCATTTTCTTCAATGTTATGATGAAGTGAGTGGCCTACATATCCTAAAGACACCAAACTTAGAAGCCAAGAAGGACCAAACCTGGTAAGTAATTGGATGAGATGCTGCCAATAAATACCAGATAAGGTAAAGGTAAGGTTTCCCCCTTGACATTAAGTCGAGTTATGTCCGACTCGGGGGGGGGGGGGGGGGGGGGGGGGAGGTGTGATCATCTCCATTTCTAAGCCGAACAGCCAGGGTTGTCCATCAATGGCTCCAAGGTCATGTGGCCGGCATGACTGCATGGAGAGTCATTACCTTCCCACCGGAGCAGTACCTATTGATCTACTTCCATTTGCATGTTTCGAAACTGATAGGTTGGCAGAAGCTGGGGCCAACAGCGCTACCTGGATTCGAACTGCCGACCTTTCAGTCAGCAAGTTCAGCAGCTCAGCGGTTTAACCCACTGTGCTACCAGGGACTCCCAAAATACCAGCTACTGCAGGCTAAATTTCAAAGACAGTGGTAAAACTCTGAGTAGTTCTTGCTTAGGAAAACTCCATGAAAAATTCATCAGGTTGCCATAAATTAGTAGGCTGGTAAGACACACAAAAATATTTTACCATGAATTCCAGTTTAAACACAGCTTTCTTCCTCTACTATATAAATACAGGGTTCTATCTCTACTGTCAATTCTAGTTTGTATGTTTCCCTAGCCATTGTTTTCATGTCAAAATAATATTAATTTTACATCTCTAATAATTTATCCCTACCCCTATAATTGTTACATTAGTTTTGACTTGAATAGTCAGGATTTTAAAATTTACATTGAGCTTTTTCTTTTTGTCTTGATGAAGATTTTCCTTTATTTGTGAAATGCAAGAGAGCTGCTGTGAATTTATGCTGCTGAAACAACCACTTCTGGGATTGCTTTGTTTTGCCTGCCATCTAGTGGTACAGGTCCACCAACATAGTTCTTATTCAGCAAAAGAAATACTAGTATAATCCATCCTAAAATGACAATGACAAAAGCTGTGCCAAACCAGGGATAACCATTAGTTTAATATTTTCTTCCAATGCACCACTGATAAACATAATAAATGTTCTTTATCTAAAGCAGAGCATAGTTTTTCTCAACACTGAACACATTTCTTTATACAAGTCATTTCTTTCCAACTGAATAGTTGCATACATTTTTATTAATTACATTTTTCCAACATCTCATGATCATCATGTTTGGTCATTTGGCTTCTAATGGCAATTCAGGCTTAGTCATTTTTTGTGATCTATGGCATATGAAGAAGCTTCCTTCATGTGTTGATAATCTTTCCATCAGCTTTTTTTTCACTGAGCAGAGAAAAATTAAAAGCGCATGAATTATGCAGACTTTAGCTGCCTTTTTGATGTCTTAGCCTTTTTTGAATTTTGAATTTTTTGACTACTGTCTCCATTTTGATTAATGACTGGGCCAAGGTACTGAAAATGTTTATACTTCAACTTCTTAATCATCCTGTTTAGAATTATATCAATTATTTTTGTTTTGTGTTTTCTTAATCATAGTCCCAGTGATGCAATGGGTTAAACCTTGTGCCGGCAGGACTGAAGACCGACAGGTCAGTCGTTCAAATCCGGGGAGACCGGGTTGAGCTCCTTGTCAGCTCCAGCTCCCCACATGGGGACATGAGAGAAGCCTCCTACAAGGATGGTAAAACATCAAACATTCAGGGCAATAATCATTTCTTTGGTAATGTCCCCACATTTCTAAATAGTCCTTTCTTTGTTTTCAAAGAAACTGTTGAGAAAATAATTTGCCAAGCATCGTCCATTTTTAAAGTTGTTAATCAAACGCCCTCTTTATATTTTATTGTGGTTTATTTCCATTAATTTAAGTAAGAGATCAGATAGCCACAGGCCAAGGGTATTTCAAGACCCTATTAATCTATCACTATTTTTAAAGGAAACTCCAGTCTGCAAACTAGAAGCTCCTGTTCCATATGAAACTTCCAGGGCTGTAGCTATGTTCACTGCTAAACCTCCACAGATTTTTAATAGCCCTCACTTCCAAACTATGACCAGGGCATAAGAATGAAATAAGAAATTAAAACTTGCGACAAAAATAAGTAAGGACTAGGCTAAGATAAAAAGTAAATGTAAAATGTCTTCCTTTATTATTTAAGAGACCCTAATGGATTAATGTAATGCATTATTCTTAACATGTAATTTCCAAGCTCTGCACTGAACTGCTAGCAGTATCTGGTGAGCCAGAAGGGAGCCACGTGTCAGTAATGGGGTACACCAAACCAATTTTGTTGGACTTCCCAAACACTTTTATAAATTGTCTCTTTTCTATGCTCTCTTATCCACTTCACTCATACAATCATTTATTCAAACCTCTTTTGCAGACCAAAAAAGTAATTTTCTCAAGCTTTTGTTGCTACTCATTAAACTAGTTTGTCTGCTGTTACAACTAAAAGTTATGGTTTTTCAAACTGTTAATTTTAGAAATAGTTAATCGTCATTTTGTACTCTGTCCATTTTGTATCCTAGTGATGCTGTATTGTAAAAAGAAAAAGATATTGAAATAAAAATGTACGCTACTTATATTTTAACTCATATTGTGATGACTTGTGGCACTATTTTGAGCCCTGCTAATTATGGAAAAAGTACACTTAAGTATGCACTTAACTCACCAGCAGTTCGAAAACTAAATTTATTTTTTTCCCTCACGAAGTACAAATACATAGAAATGGGAGGTTTCAAGTAATTCTATATAACACATGCAGTAGGACAGTAGAAACTCTTAAAAATTGCACTAGACAGATTATAAAGAACGACAAAGAAAAAAATATAGGAAATCATAACAGAGGCTGGTAGTGATTTTTTTTATTATGTGATCAAATTCTTTTGAAGGCTTCCAAAACAATTATATCATCTTATAAAGGACCCGGAAACTTTGGAAATATAGAAGTATTTTCTATTCATGTTTTCTTCAGTTTCCAGTGCCATCACATGAAATGCCTCAGATTGTTCTTATAAATGGACCCTGTCAGCAAACAGCTCAGCAGGAAAATTATTTTAAAAGTACACGTTTTAACATTTCAACAGGTGCTTGATGCAACCAGGTCTTCTTCATTACGTTTCAACAGCTGCTGCCTATATTCCCCTCCAAGGCAAACAGTGGCAAATATGTAATACAAGGCCTACAGAAGCCAGCATTAAAGACTCTAGTGACATCACCCAGCTTTACAGAAGTCCACAAATTATTGCATTTCAAATGGGTAACGGGGGACACCATGTTCATGCTTGCCAATATGGCAAGTGGCATGACCGAAGTTTTCTTCACTTACAGCTGTTAAGTTCACCAATTAACACAACCTAGTCTCAAGACACTTTAGAGCTCAAGGGTTCAACAGGATGCACAAAGTATTAGATGGATATAAATTGTACACTGTTTCCAATAGATAAAGCAGCAACCATTTGCCATATTGAAACTGGAGGTAGAAACCTACTACTGAAAATAATTGGTTCTTAGCAAGAGTGCTCGTTTATTTTTACAACTTCTTACAGTTGTATGAGAATCAGCAGCAGAAAGTGAACTTGATCAAGAAGTACCATATTGAAAAGTCTGGACCCTACAAATGCAAATAGCCTTACAGAGAACCTGGGAAATGCACTCTCCTGTTAATTGTAACCATTAAAGTTAGCTTGTGTTTATAGAAGATTTTCATTACTCTCTATTCTTTATTTAAAAGGCTTCCATATATCTAAGCATTAAACACATATATGGTTGGAATGATCACAGCAACTCCCCAGTATCTATTTATTAAGTGCTGGATAAGGCATTATGCCTAAGCTGAACTCTCCTCACTGACAGACTCCACTATATGAAAAATGGCTGAGGCCAAAAGGGGCACATATTAAAATTTCTCTCCAATTACTGTCCCATTGTAGCCTAAATCCAGTTGTTAGTCCCAACTAGAGCAAATGTACAGTCAATGGAAATATGGTAAATCAGCACCTAATGTACTTAAGTTCCGTTGATGCAGTCGGCCTAACAACTGGACTTTGGTTTACGAGCTCAATGAAAGAGCATATTTTAGAATACTGGAATGCTTTAATTGAATTAAACAACTTCCTATCCTCCCAGTACAATGGTTAATGTTTTTGGGACAACTCGAGTCTCCACTGCTTAGCCTTTAGGAGGAATGTCTACAAGAAAACAGTACAAACTACGAAGGCTTGATATGCAAGCCTTTTCAAACCAGTCAGTCACTGAAATGCAGGAGTTGCCTACATATTAAAACATACACCGTACCCTATGGATTATCCACTCCGCCACCATCTCTATCTTCAAGGAATGTTAAAACAACCAGAAATACTCTATATTCATTAATAGTTATTCCCTGCAGTTGACACTCTGACAGAACCAAAGTAGTTTTCACAAGGTGGTTATACTAGATTGTAAAAATCAGTCAATTGCAGCCATTTATTTATCATTAACAACACTTCATTGATATTACTGTGACTTCCTTATCAGTGCTCGGAATCACAAAGCCATCTCACCACAGTTCATTATGTTAACCACTTTGCAGCTAAAGTGCACCTTTGGGAAGATTGAAAATTTCCTTAACTACAATTTCAATGTGCAACTAGCAAAAGTATTACTAGAACTTATTTTTTAAATCTGCAGATTAAACTGGAGTGCTTTGCAAATGGATACATTATTGCACACAGAGGATTTGGTATTTCCCTTGCCCTGTAACTCTAGGGCAAAGCTAGAACACCCAGAACAAGGAGCCCAGGGCCATTCCTGTTGCTGCCCCAGCAAGCATCCCCAGTGCCAGGTCCCCATCATTATCCCGATAACGTTCTCTGATGATGACATGATTTGCAGGCGGGTGGCCATAGGGACCTGTAGAAAAGAACATCAGAGATACAAATGAATTAAATTTGTATTTTTTCATTCCCTTTTGAGCAAGGATGTTAGATCTCCTCAAACATGGGTGCTTTAATGCCCTAGCCTATAGAGGAGAGTTAAGAGAAGAGAAGGCAGGTCTTGCAGTTGAAGTGGAATAGACACCTCCACCTTCTACAACAAACATTAAAAATCAGAATGACAATGGTTCATCAGTAAGTAATGTGAAGGAAGGTGTTTCATCATGATTTCTGTGGAAAATCATATCTGGCTTATCAACAGAACCTCAAAACTCATTTTGGAAGATCAGAAAAGTCATAGCCACTCTGAGCCCACATACCATCTTTGTCAAATAACTAGAAGGTGGATGTACAAGCCAAGTTCAAATACAGAATAATCCTTAAAGCAACTATAGTTGCTATATTACACAAGCACAATTCTCATGCATTGTTTATGAAAATATATTTGCTTCATTGTATAAATATTATTACTATCTAGTAACAGAGTCTAAGCTACAAAGCAATAAGCTAATAAGTGGTTGAGAAATCATGTTCAGATGTCTCTCCATGTATCACAATACTTAAGCATTTAATGTTGGAGAGTAGCAACATGCCATTAAATCTTCATTATTTAGCCAAGTGCATTCTTTTTTGGCTACAACTAACTACAACCACTAAATATAGTCTGCTAGAAGCAAGATATGTTTAGCAGTACAATCCTGTGCAGGTTAATTCTCAGAGGTTAATTCCTTATGTTCAGCTGCACTTACTTCCAGGTAAGGGTGCACAGAAATGCTGCGTAAGCTGTTATATGTCAACAGTACATTAAATGCACACTTCTATCCAAGTTTTTAAATCTATTGTTAAAAACATTAGGTGTATACTAGTATCTTTTAAATTGCCAACTTCATCTAACGATGCTCTGTCTGTGTTATTCTTCAACCTCAATAATAGTATGATTTTATGACGGTCCTAGGAAAAGTTATTCAGTATAACTTATTAGTATCATAGGAAAGGTTGCTAATGAGATACTTTTCCCCTGCATCATTTTACTGGAAAGTAAAAAAAATCCTTCATTAAAAAAATAGTGCATGCAATTCTATACTGCAAATTTCTAGATGCGCTGATCAAGAAAAAAACATTACCATGATTTGGATACTGGTAAGGGATTGCATATGTTTGTCCATTAGAGGTATAGATGATCTGAGGTCCTGGAGGTGGATATGCACCATTATATGGGGGATAGCCATAAATCTGTTAAAATGACAAATATTGGTCAGAAATATATTTGACAAAACATACCCAAACAAACTTTTCTCTCAAATTTTACCACGGTCTAAAACAAAGTACATGCTCATGCCTAGGACAGTTCACTGGTGTAAAACCAGATAATGTGAAAACAAGGCAATACAAGTCAAGCGAAACTTCGCTTCATCAGCAATTCTAGCACTACTCACAATTTTACTTAATGACAAACGGAAACTGTGAGCACAAAAATACACATAACTTTACATGCCAAGATCCATAGTTTTCTAGCAGTTTGACACTGCAAAACAAGGAAAGCCATACTTTTAACCAACTTTGACTAACCAATCTTTGTCTTTTAAACTTTGACTAAGCAACCATGTACTTTAAACTTACCTCAGGTGAGGGTGTAGCATAAGCTGTATATGGAGGAGGAGCAGAAGAAATTGAATTGTCTTCATACATCACTTCAGAACCAATATAGGCCTAGAGACATTGATACAAAATACAAAGGCAGTTGTTCATACTGTCAGAGGGCAAATGCACATGGATAGGTATAAGGAATTAATACATAAAGGAGGCATTAAAACGAAATTGAAGCGAAATTGGAATTTCTGACCCATCATACTTGACTGAGAGGGGTAATATCCACTACATAACAAACAGCCACTTCTCATATAGAGGGGGTTTTTTTCTAGCAAAAAGGTTATGGGACAAAACTATTCCAGCAAATCTATTGTATTTTGCTGCTGGACGCTTACTTATCCCATGCCATTTTTAGGGTGAAAAGGTGACAGAGAAGCAGAGAAAGTGCTAAGATGAGAAGCAACTTACTCTCTACCTAAATATGGAAGGGCTGTAAGTCAAGCAGGTACTGATGTCATGAGAGGCAGGGATAGAAATGGTAGCTACATCCACCAGCAGCTCACCATAAAGTAGCCATAGACATATTTGTCAATGGCTAGGGCCAAAGAAGGACACACTTCACTACTGAATTCCTACCAGGCTAAAAAAGGGAAACTTAAGGATGAAAATGGATTTGTTAGGCAAGCCGATGTCCATTTCATGATAAATGAAAGTCAGGCTCTTTTGGGCAATAGTTCAATCAGCAAATGCTTAAATTCTATATGCCTTTTTCCAGAAAGAAGGCAATTGCAATCGATGTCCTAAAATATATAGCCAAAGTTCATAGGCATAACTTCTGTTAACAATAACTAACATTTCACAGAAGTGTACGAACTTTCAAAATCTCCAGAACTCTTCACAACAGGATCTTTCATAAAAATTAGAGGAGAAAGTAGGGAAATCCAAATGTTTGCCTAGATGTTAGAGCCATGTGGTCTGCACTTAAATTCAGCCCCAAGATAACAGTTAGAGACTGAATGAGTTACTGGCAGGTGTGCAGGTATTAGACTGCACCTAGCAATAAATACTGACCAAAAAATGGGTTTCTATTTTTGGAAACAAAAAACTGGCTGCAAACTCAGAAATCTGGCTTAGAAAAATCAAGCAGCTTTCTCAGCTGTCACAAGGTACACATACAGAGAAATCACAATTTGAGTTAAGAAGTCAACTGACTGAATTGTCATTATAATTTGGAGAATTGGAGAGGATGGAATTGTGTTTGTTTTGTATTGTGTATTGGCATAACCACAATTATTTTTGAATTTGTTTTGGAAGACACTGTAACACGCCACCCAGGGATAACTCTAAAGCTAAATGAACAAGATTTTCTTCCATCCAAAGGACACATAGCTCCGTTTTGGATTATTAAACAAAAGGCCTTCAATGAAATGCTGATCACCCTTGAAATAATTACATCCCAATATGCACACACAGGCAAACATTTGAACACGGTAAAAGCCTTCCAGAGACAGAAAATATGTGGTTCTCTAGATACTGCTGAACTAAAACTCTGATACTTTTTCCTTCACTGTGCTAGTTAGGGCTTATGGGAACTGCAGCTCAGAAACTAATTTAACCAGTCACTTTTTTATCGAGATGAGTAACTTGCTACAAAAGTTGTTAGTGCCATCACTATGTGTACCATCATGCCCTCTGCTTGAGCTAACTGAGACACATGCTAGTACAGTAATGCATTGTGTGAAAGTCAGCACTAATCCCAGCTCTTCATCAATAGTTCAGTAACCCCCAGAAAGAGAAACAGAAATATGTCAGCCAATACTGATCAAGTTCAGTCTTGTGTGCTGATACTCAAAAATCTCTCCCTTCTCCTCAGTCTATTCTGCAAATCCCACTTCAACTGCTGCCATAGAGAAACCAGCTTAAGCACTACTTGAGAAAACGAAAAGAGCAAAAGCTAATCTTTCCACTACTGTTTTTAATAACAGAAAAGAAAGAAAATGAAAAACTGCCTTACCTCATTTGTTCTAGCATCTTGGAGAGCAAATTTCCAAGCCCTGTAGGAAACATGAACAGAGAAAATATAAAAGGGAGGAAAATCACTAACAGGAGCTGTATGCATATCCTTAAAAATGTTTATCGCAAAATAGCACAATCACACCGCAAAATAGCAGTGCTTTGGAGGTAACAAAAAAGCATTACGGCAGATATGCACACACACACACACAATAACCTTTGTTTTAATTGTTAACTGCTGTCAAATTGACTTTGACTTATGGTGACCTAATGAGAAACCTCCCTAGCTGAATAAAAGATATGTGTATTGCAGAGCGGTCAAAATTGTTTTATACAGGAATTCCTTCAAGCGTAGAGATTATAGCACCACATATGATGCACCCCAGAAAGGTGAATGGCTAAAATTCTAGGACTATGACAAAAGTTTTTTAAAAAGAGAAATTGCCAAAACATAGAATAGCTGCTGTGTTTGGAAACTCACAAGCAATCGTCAGCACTTTCCGCACAGAGACTGAGCACTTTTCCATCACGACAAATGATCTGCAGCAAACAATCATGAGGTTTCCCTTCTGGAGGCTGTAAACCTGATCAAAAGAAAGAAAACAAAATAAAAACAGGGAAAGATTATTTCACTTCCTAGGACAAGCAACTAGGTACTCAGCTAAGGTACAAGATGTCCTATAGCACCTAAAGCAGAAACCTACACCTGGCAAAAGGAGGAAAATACAGCTAAATTCTGCTTGCTATATTACTACAAAGCTATAATTAAAACACAAGGCAGCGTGTTATTTTTCCAGATTTCTAAAGGCAGGATTCTCAAACCTTCTATCTTTGGTCCTTCTAGGAGAGCTGAACATAATGGAGGTCCACCAGCTAAAAAAAGGGAAAGTAGACATGACACCAATAAAAAGTGGCTAATACAGGTTGAACAAAAACAAATGGCAATTACTGACATAATAATTATATTTTATTCCTTAGGAATTTCTCAATCCATCATGATAATCTGGAGTATGTCGGCTTTCCTCAAATGAAGTACAGACTTTGGCTGAGGATGAATCATAACTCAGTCTTCCTAGTTCAAGTAGTTAGCTAATACAAAAGCTCTAAATTGAAAAAAAACTTATTAACATATATTTTTCATTCCTCATTCACTTACCTGCCTTTCTCTACAAGTGCTATTACTTCCTTTCTCTTATTCCCAGCTACCAGTCCTTCTTTCTACCATTTTATACACTTTCTCCTTTTACAGCTTCCCTCCCTTTTTCTCTATTTCCAGGTTTTTATTATTACTGTTACTAGTAATCCTTAATCCCTATAATTTCCTTCAAAAGCCCCTTCTGCCCCTAACTCGTGCTTTTATATCTCGTGCTTTTATATCTTAGGTAGCCAGAAAGAATAATACATCTAAATATCTAACACAGGGTCTACAAAAAAAGAACAACTAGAATATCCTGGACAGAGAGCCATCTAGGGCTCTTCCCACAGACTCTGTACCCTACTGATGAACCAATCTCCAAGGCAATATGTTTCACTATCAAATCAGTCACAGAACTGATTTGATAGTTTCCTAGAGTTGAACTGAATTTTCTTTCAGGTTCCACCTACGGATTCTAATCCTTCTCTCTGAAGCAACACAGACGTCGACCTCATATTATTCTGCATGACAGCTTTTCAGATATTTTAACAACATTGTCATATTATGCCTTAATCTTTTTCCCTCCAAGCTAAACATGCTTACCTCTTTTCATTATTCCCCATAGATCCTGTCTGTTCCCTTTAGAACACATTCCAATTTGTCAATGTTTTTCTTAAAATGTGTCATTCAGAACTTTCCAGTGTGAGCAAACCAGAGCAGAACAGAATAAAGGGTCATTCGATCTGGACACATGTTTTTCTAATGCATTAAAGATTGCTTTAGCTTTCTTGAAAGCCAGATTTCAATGTTGGCTCATGTTCAGCTAATTCGGCATTATCAAACAGCCAAAGCACTTCGTTTTCCTATTTTTTAACAAAGGAAGTAAAGTACAGATGAAAACCTACGTTGTCTCCTGTTTTGCTTTGTTTATTTTTTCTCATTTTCCCTTTAATTCTTCCTCAAATTCTTCCTCAAAACAATCCCTTTGGGCCATTGTCCCCATATTTTGGACAACCTCTGTTTTAGGACCAGAAAAAGATTTAGTTTAATAAGAAACTGTAAATTCGGATTTACTTTGCATGTATGTGCCCTTGTGTTTCATGAATTTCACAGGGTATTTTTGGGCAAGAAAAACTCAAATATGGTTTTGCCAGTTCCTTCCTTTGAAATATAGTCTACAGCACTTGGTATTTATTGCCAGGGTCCCATGTAGTCAAAGGTTTTTCCTGAGGCTAAACATGTCAGAGAAGGGAGGAATGCAGAAAAAGTTCCCTCCAACCTGCTAGGGTTCAGAGGGTATGTTTTGACTGAAAAATAATACTTGTTTTAAAAAATCCAAGTACAGGCAGTCCCCAAGTTAGAAAAAAAAGGTAAGTTCTATGGGCTTGTTCCCAAGTCAAATTTTTGTGTAAGTTGGAAGTAGTACATTTTAAGTGTAACTCCAGTCAAATATATCCTGTATATATTGTAGCTCTGGATAGTATAGGGAAGGGTTACCACCCTTAAGGTGTTTGTTTTGCTGCCTGTGTTTCTGTTCAGAAGATTTCACCTCACTTTCTGTCTCTATTGTAATTGGATTTTGAAAAAATTGGCTTGTTATGGAAACAAGGATTGGTGAGAAAGCTTCAGTTAAGAAACCTTTCCCCCCATAACTCTTTTAGGAGTGAATTTCCCTTTCTAGGAATAGATTTGTCTCACTTCTTGGTGTCTCATCCCTATTCTTAACTATGAGTCATTTCTAATTCTGATGTTTGTGACTCAGGGATTGCCTGTATTGGGAGTGCAGAAGGGAATGCAGCCCTCAACAGCCCTTCAGAAGGAGAATCCTGTCTGTCCCACACTCCACCACCTCATCTCCTTACAGGAAAGAATGGAAATATCCAACAGAAATCCTAGTTCTAAAAATCATTACATATGATAGTTGAACAGAATAGTAATGGTGGAAAATTGACTTTTAAATCTGCTATTAATTCATTATGTATGGTGAAATCATATAGTTCAATGTCTTTCATTCTTTGAAAAAAAATAGAATTCATACACATCATGCCCTTAGAGGAGGTAAAGAGGTCATCACAATTTCTGATCATTAAGCAGAATAAACAAAAATTCTATGCACATTTACCTGGGAATAAGTTCTGTTAGAAGTTAATCAACTTCTGATTAGATACTGTATGAACAGGTTTGCACGATCTGTACAGAGCCACGTTAAGAGCAATCACTGACCCCAGTTGTAAACTGGGAAACTAGTGAACCTAATACTTGAAACTAAACTTAGTTCTAAGTCATTCATATTTATATTAAAAGTTGCACCAAATTTAGTTGTGACTGGTGACAAGCTTTGCGTATGAAAAGTAATAACATATCAAGTAAAAAGCACATCTATACCTCGGCATTCGTCCCCCACTCTGACGTTGATACAATCCACTTTCATGTGAATTCTGTCTTCTAGATCATGCCGATTCTGATCGTCATAAAATAATAAATGGCCATGGGACCACAAATCAAACCAATTCTTCTTCCAGCGCCTTAATATAGTACCTAGATAGAACAGAGAACAGTTATTTTTGAATTCACAGATTAGAAAACCTTGCTCTAAAACAGGGGTCCACAAACTTTTTAAACCGAGGGCCAGGTCACAGTCCCTCAAACTTTGGAGGGTCGGACTGTAATTTGGAAAAAAATGAATGAATTCCTATGCACATATCTTATTTGTAGTGCAAAAAATACTTTAAAACAATACAATAATTAAAATGAAGAACAATTTTAACTTATTAGTATTTCAAACATAAACTTATTAGTATTTCAATGGGAAGTGTGGGCCTGCTTTTGGCTGATGAGATAGGATTGTTGTTGTTGTTGTTGTTGTGTGTTTTCAAGTTGTTTCAGACTTAGGGTGACCCTGAGAAAGGGCCGGGTAAATGACCTTAGATGGCCGTATCCGGTCCCCGGGCCTCAGTTTGAGGACCCCTGCTCTCAAACATTATTTTAACAGCCCTTCGGTTTGAAATGAAGAGCAGTTGAAATCTTAATGTTTTAATTTTAATCGTCATGCAAAGAGAACAGGTAAATTTACTCCCACACACCGTTTTAACAGCCACCAAAACAGGCAGTTTTAAAAAGGGATAAGGTAATTCATGTAAGATACAGATATGGCTACTAGTCGTGATGCGCACATATGCCTTCCAAAACCAAAGCAGTACGCCTCTCACTGCCAGTTACTAGGGAATACAAGCTAGAAGTTGATACTGTATTCACATCCTTATATAGGTTTATTCCCACCGACATCTGAACCACCATTAAGGGAATTGAATGGGCTGAATTAGATAAGCATTTACTCTGATCCAGCACATTGCAACCTTTTTATGTGCTTAGAAATGCATCTGAATATCAAGAAAGGTCTCCTGGTGTCTTTTCCACTTTGCAGTTATAGCATTATAAATCCATTTTGCTTGTTATAGAACCCTGGAATTTAGTTTATGGAGGAACTAGAGCCCACTGGCTGAGAATTCTAAAAATCCCTTCCTGACGTATGACAGTTCAAGTGGAATCATCACGGGTTCTGTTCACATACAATACAACCACTGAACTCACAGGACCATTTTCACCTACCCACATCTGACAAAATATACGCTTTGCAGGAATTTTCTAGGTCCTTCAAGACAACTCTATGGTAACTTCCAGCACAAATCATTAATTTCAATAGCATTTGTCATTATCCATGGCTTGCTGTTCCATGGTAAGTTCAGGAATACATCCCCTCCCAATATGGAAGTCATACTCCATGTCAGGTCCACAAAACACGTGGCCTTCCAAGTGTTTGGGATTCTAACTCCCAGAAGCTGTAGCCAGCTTATTCAATGGTCAGGAAGTCTGGGAGCTGAAATCCAAAATACATGGAGAGCCACAGGTTGTGCAGGCTATTTTAATAGGAATTGTAATCGGTTATTAATGGTTTAAAAAGGTTGTAACTATTTATTTTTAACAGTCCTATGTTTAATTCTATTTTTGTGTTTATGTGTTTTAGGTTTTAAATTGTACATTGTATTGTTTTTAGCAATGTTAGACTCTGAGTCTCTTTTAAAAAGGAACAAGTGGAATCGAATTAAATAGGAGAAGATGGTAGTAATTGTCGTCCCACTGTCCCTATTGTCCCGTCCCTCTGGAAGACAAGAGTTTTTCTGGACTAGTAGCATAGATTGTGGTGCAGAACCTTATGAAACCAACCTCTTTTGAGTGCACTGACTCTACAAGTACTGAATTTGCCCTCCATTTTCCAGTTTCCTACATTTTTATTCAGCAATGGGAGGAAGGGAGGAGTCCATATCAGGATTGCAAACATAGCTGTGCACACACAGAAGGCTCCAACTTCCAAACTCATATCATTTGGGTTGTTGTAGTTTTTTCGGGCTATATGGCCATGTTCTAGAGGCATTCTCTCCTGACGTTTCACCTGCATCTATGGCAAGCATCCTCAGAGGTGGTGAGGATGCTTGCCATACCTCTGAGGATGCTTGCCACAGATGCAGGTGAAACATCAGGAGAGAATGCCTCTAGAACATGGCCATATAGCCTGAAATAAACCACAACAACCCAGTGATTTCAGCCATGAAAGCCTTCAACAATTCATATCATTTGTTTCACACCACTGGTGAAGATGGACAGTTTACCATTTATTTGTGGCTCCAAACATTATTTTGTTTCTTTCTTTTTAAATCATCACAATCTTAAAAGCACACGTCTTCACACAACTGTGTTTTCCTGACACCAACCCACATGGCTTCACCTCATTAGGAAAGAAAACACAGGTAATATAATTTGGTCCCCAGAAAGAAAAGACAGCCAACCAAATCCATTACTCACTTTGCCGAAGCAGCCATCCACTTTTCACCAGTGCCATCGTAAATGCTATAAGAAATGGAAAAGGAGATGCGTCATTGATGTATCTCAAAGCAATACCAGAACACAGAAAATATTCCTCTATACCTTCAGCTCTGCAAAGCTCTAAGCACAATATTCAAATATATATGAGCATGAAATAAATTTCACAGAAATGCATACTGATGCAATGTAATACATCTTTCCCCAAGCTGGTATCTTCCAAATGTTCTGGGCTATAAGTCCAGTAATTCATTGGCAACACAGCCATAAAGCTAGAGATGATGAGAGATGCAGCCCAACACATTCTGAAGGTACCATGGAGAAGGCTGTTGTAAGATTTCTTTCATTCATTAGCTTATCCTGATAACACACTGCACCACAGGAATAAGAGTCCCCATAAAAGTTTAAAACAGATGCTGTATAATCCAGTGGACACTACTGTATAAACCAATTCATAAATCGGCCACATGTATAAATCAAGGGCAGGTTCTGGAGTCAAAATTATGGATTTTGTATAGGATGGGCCGAGGCTTCTTTAGTTTCTTTTAAGACAGTGGTTCTCAACCTTTCTAATGCCGTGACCCCTAAATAAAGTTCCTCATGTTGTGGTGACCCCCAACCACATTTTCGTTGCTACTTCATAACAGTAATTTTGCTACTGTTATGAAATGTAATGTAAATGTCTGATATGAAGGATGTATTTTCATCGTTACAAATTGAACATAATTAAAGCATAGTGATTAATCACAAAAACAATTGTTTGGGGGAGTGTGGGCAATGGATGATGGGATCTGAAGTACCTTCAACCGATGCAGCTCTGACTTCCAGAGACCACTGAGACACCCCCCCCCCCCCCCGAAATACAGACTTGGACCAAACTTGGCACACAGAACCCTAATGACCAACAGAAAATACTGGAGGGGGTTGGGGGGAATTGATAATGAATTATGGGAGAGGTAGTTCACCTACATCCAGACAGCACTGTGAACCCAAATTACTATGGATCTGGACAGAACTTGGCACAAATACTCAGTATGCTCAAATCTCAAGACTGGTGGAGTTTGGGGAAAATAGACCTTGGCATTTGGGAGTTGTTGGGATGTATAGTTCCCCAGCCATCAAAGAGCATTCTGAACTCCAACAGTTAAATTGGACCAAACTTGGCCTGCAGAACTCTCACGACCAACAGAAAACACTGGAGAGGTTTTGGGAAAATAGACCTTGGCATTTGGGACTTGTTGGGGTGTTTAGTTCCCCAGCCATCAAAGAGCATTCTGAAATCCAACCACAATTAAATTGGACCAAACTTGAGCTGTGTGGAAGGGGCCTGGGTTATCTGAGGCCCCTTCCATACAGCTGCATAAAATACACACTGAAGTGGATTATCTGGCTGTGTGGACACAGATAATACAGTTCAAAGCAGATAATGTGGGATTTCATTCATCTGTGTGGAAGAGGCCTGGGTTATTTGGGGCCCCTTCCATACAGCTGCATAAAATACACATTGAAGTGGATTATCTGGCTGTGTGGACACAGATAATCCAGTTCAAAGCAGATAATGTGGGATTTCATTCATCTGTGTGGAAGAGGCCTGGGTTATTTGGGGCCCCTTCCATACAGCTGCATAAAATACACACTGAAGTGGATTATCTGGCTGTGTGGACACAGATAATCCAGTTCAAAGCAGATAATGTGGGATTTCATTCAGCTGTGTGGAAGAGGCCTGGGTTATTTGGGTCCCCTTCCATACAGCTGCATAAAATACACGTTGAAGTGGATTATCTGGCTGTGTGGACACAGATAATCCAGTTCAAAGCAGAGAATGTGGGATTTCATTCATCTGTGTGGAAGAGGCCTGGGTTATTTGGGGCCCCTTCCATACAGCTGCATAAAATACACGTTGAAGTGGATTATCTGGCTGTGTGGACACAGATAATCCAGTTCAAAGCAGATAATGTGGGACTTCATTCATCTGTGTGGAAGAGGCCTGGGTTATTTGGGTCCCCTTCCATACAGCTGCATAAAATACACACTGAAGTGGATTATCTGGCTGTTTGGGCTCCCCCTTCCCCAACAGCTAAGACTTCTTACCCAGGGAGCAACCAGCTGGTCCACTCACTAACCTTGCAGCAACAACAACAGCCACAGCCTTCGAGGGCCAGGGAGGGGGGAGGCGGGGCAAGGCAGCAGCAACCCTTTTCCTCTTCCTCCAGTTGCCCATCGAGGAGGACGAGGAGAAGGGACACTGCTGCAGTTTCTCCGCTTTTTCCTCTTCCATGGCCAGTTGGAGGAGAAGAAACAGCAGCAGAGCGCCTTCTCCTCTTTTTCCTTCTCTCTCCTTGATGGCCAGCTGGAGGAGGAGGAGCAAGAAGAGGAGAAACAGCCGTAGCGGCCCCTGTGTGGCCTCTTCTCTCCTCTCCTCTTCTTCATGGGGGAACTGACCTTTGTTTTGGTGAGTTGTAGTTCACCCACACCAGAGAAATTGACCTCCTTCCATGATGGACCTGGGTCAAACTTGGGCAGCAAGAGCCAGCCCATATGGGGAGCCTTCCTATCGACCCCACCCCTTCTAAACTCACGGGGAGGGGAGGGCCCAAGAAGGTCTCCAAAAATAGTGTACCTTCTCCCTTGCGCGCCTTTGCCTCTAAGCTCCTCCTCTTGACTCCATGCAGCCTTGTGAGAAGAGGAGGAGGAGCCGACCAGGAGTGCCTGGATGTTTGGCTGGCACAGGGGCCGGCAGCCATTTTGGAGGGGGCGGGGCTAACCGAGGTGCCTTCGCGGCCCCCCAAAAATGACCCAGCGACCCCCCTGGGGGTCCCGACCCCCAGGTTGAGAACCGCTGTTTTAAGATATATTAAGCTCTCGTCTTTTGCCACTCAAGTCAGAAAGGAATGGTTCCTTTAAAAAATAATTAAGGCACAGTACTCACATTCCTGAGTGATCAAATATTACTTTTTGTTCCAACCAATGGGGCACTCATTAGTGAGATAGTAAAGCTGAGAATAAGCATAATAATGAATGCAACCAGGAGTCTTCAGCTGACATTTCTTCTTCTTCTTATCTACACATATAGGGACAGAGTGAGGCATGCCCATACTGACATGCAAAGCAGAAGGTTCTTACTTAAATGAGAAATGTGGGCAACCATAACATTGATTTAAGCTAAGGCAGACTTCAGGCAGCCACTGTACAGCCAAATTTTGGCCCTTAAATAACAAACTGTGCCATGTAATTTCCTCACCCAAGTTTTTTCCCCAACCTAATACAGGCCTGAGGCTCCTGACAGAAAAAAAGGTTTTTGCAGACCCTACCTAACATTTCAGGAGGGTATTTACCAAGCTATCCATGGAATCCGAAAAATGTGGCTTTACAAAGTTGTAGCAAAGAGCTAAAATGTTCCTCGGATTCACAGATATTGCCATTCAATCCCTTTTAGCTAGACAATGGTAATACTATCTCCTCTAATCTGCGCAGATTTGGACTGTTTTTGGACAATGAGAACAGCCACTCTACTGAAGAACAATGCAGGATAGATTAAAAGCCTAGTCTAATTTTCTGTTTTCCATGCTGTCAATTACTTATGGACAGTCTATTAGAGGAACATGAGTGTTCTTTGCATTTTCTGGAGTTCCAGAAGCAGGAAGAAATTTCTCAAGGCTTAAAGGCTGACTAGATCCGGTTGGCTTGCTTGCTGCTGCCTTTCTGTCAGCAAGTAAATTTTTTTTATTTAGGGAGGCATTTGGTTCTTAATATGCTGAGGCAAGTGGACCTTTTAAAGAGCATGTGTATTGTATTTTTATTATTTTAAAATAGAACTGTGATCCAATTAGACTTTGAATTTTGTATTAATAGTTGCTCTTACTGTACTGTTTTTAAATGGTTACAAGAAACAAAAACTTTTGTTCAAGAAAAAAAATGGTTTACAGAGTGTTGGACCCACAGTGGTGAGACCAATTTGTTCTATAAATGTCAGATGGAAAGAGGGTCATGGAAACAGGGATCACTTTTTGCAGATGGACTAAACTAAGACTTTTGAAGATGAAACTACTACAGCCTTAACCCCCTCCTCCCATGAAAATCTGTTTCTTAGTTGACTTGTTGGTCATGCAATAGTTTAAAAAGATTCTTAAATATTTTTTATTTACTATTGCCCCCTCTCTCCTATTGCTCAATATTCGTCAGATATGGAATTTGCAGACTTGCCTTAAGATTAGAAGGAAAGTAACATTGTTTGGGATTTGAGCTGATGCTCCGATTTAAAACAAAAGTTACTTTTAGATAAATGGGAAGAGGAAAATGTGTTTTCCTCTATTCATATCTATTTTATATCCCTTTATGTATTCCTTTGTCCAATTTACCCAAGACCAATTTACTCAAGACAGGGAGATTTTTATGTCTATCTCATTTAAGTTACTCTGAGGATTTCAACATTTACCATATATACTTGCATTTTTGCTAAACCTAGTCATAAATCCCTCCCCCCCCCCCAAAAAAAAATAAATGAAATATTCAGATTGGGTCAAGTTCTCAAAGGATTACTTTATCAAATGCTTCTGCTTATTTCTAGAAATTGCTCTATTTCACACTGGCTTTCACTTTGGCTCATGAGCTAGATATTGTATTAAAACTATTATTTGCCAGAAAACACTGCATTTAATTTTCAGCAGTTTAAAACCTTCACACCAAAAGTGTCAGGTAAAATAGCTGGCAGGTATAATGAAGTTTTATACATATTCGGCATTGTTCAGTTATTTTTAATTTGTTATAACGCTCTCCACACGCTCTCTAGCCCCCTCTTCCTTCACTTCATCACTGCCAGCTCCTCGTTGAACCAAGGAGCTGGTTTAGCTTGGCTACTTGAGAGGGAAAGTTCTGGAGCAATCGTGTCTATTGCCCTGGCCATCTTCCCATTCCAGAGAGTGACCAGAGCATCAACAGGATCACCAACCGAGGTGGCGGGAAATTCCCCAAGAGCCGTCAGGAATCCATCCGGATCCATAAGTCTCCTGGGGCAGACCATCTTAATGGGTCCTCCACTCCTGCGGAGGTTAGGGGTGCAGCAAGTCTAAACCTGATCAGGTGATGGCCAGTACATGGCAACGGAGCAATGGACAGCTCTTCTACACTTCCACCTTCCTACCATCCCTGACAGAAAACCAAATCTAGTGTGTGACCAGCACTGTGGGTAGGGCCAGATACCCGTTGGGACAGCCCCATGGTCACCAACTAATCCATGGGCCACATCAAACTCCATAGTTTTGACACCAAAAACTACTCTTGATTTATACATGAGGTTGTCTTATAAATGACTACATACAGTAAATATCATAAAGCAGTATTTCTCAAACTGTACTCCTCCAGGTGTTTTGTACTTCAGTTCCCAGAAATCCCAGCCTGGTTATCAGCTATAAGGAATTGTGGGAGCTGTCTGAGAGCCCCTGTCATAAAGGCACCAAATTCTCTCTGATTCTTGAAGCTAAGAAGGCCAGCCCTGATTGGTAATTAGATGGAAGAAAGCCAATGAGTAGTGCTATAGCTATTTTTCAGAGGAAAGAACTGGCAATATTACCTCAACGAAACCCTTTCAGCAAACAGCACTCTCAACAAATCCGAAAGTCACTTTCGTACTCCAGCAATAGAACATGTATTTTAAATATTTTTTTTATAATTTGATTTGCTCATGAAAGCAAGTTATAAAAAACTAGAAGCAGCAAAAGGAATCAAAGATTGTGTTGTACAAAGGCGTTGCCACCAAGTTGCAGTAGGGATGCACTTGGCAGAATCCCAGTAGCATATGAATAATTTGTCTTAAACATTTTATTCTCCAGTATTAAAAAAAAAGTTTCATAACCCACATTTTTCACTAAAGAAAATCCATTTGGAGAAAAAACTAAAAATTATCCATTCTTCCCCTTCTGAATTTTTTTCTGGATCATACTACATCCCAAATAACCACACCCCCATCTCCCATCCCAAACAGTACTCACTTTCTTTTATGTGCCTTCAACTTATGGTAACCCCATGAATTTCAAAACAGTTTTACTTTTTACTGTCATGAATTCTAAACTAGCTTTGGGTGAATCTACACTGTAGAACTGGTACAGGCTGATACTACTTTAACTACCATAGCTCAATAGCAACAAGATATTGCAAAACTTCCACAGCATTGAGCCATGGCAGTAAAACTAGTAACCTCAGTGACTTTACAGCGAAAAGCAAACAACAATCTGCTCTTTCACTTACCCTGAGAAGGAATGATGATTTCATCCACAGAAGTACCAACTATCACAATTCACTTGGGTTTTCCAACCGCTAACTTCTTACACCCAGCAATGATTCTTAGCATTAAGCCACCCCATTCCATTACTGATTGTGTATTTGCCTAGAAGTCACCTTATGGTGAACCCATGCATTTCACTGGATTTTATTAAGCAGGGGATACTCAGAAGTGTTTTTTCCAGTTTCCTTCCTCTGAAATACAGCCTCCGATATACATTAGTGGTTCCTCATGCAAATACTAACTAGACCTGACCTTGCTTCGCTTCCAAGATCTGAAAGGATCTGGTACCTTTAGGGTTTGTTGCAGAAGACAAGTACGGAGAAAGACCTTCCCTTCCCGTCATATTCTGCTCATATTTTGGCAGCAATCCAATATATGGCTGTCCAACAAATGCATTTTTAATTGGACTTATATATGCCTTTCTCTCAGCATACATACACGAACTTTATCCTCCCCACAGTAGCAAAGTATTTTATTTATACTCTGCCTTTCTCAACCCCAAAGAGGACTAAAACAACATACAATTCAAATGAATATTTAAATTAAAAATTAAAATTAATCAACATTAAAACATTTAAAAACATTACATTCACTATTAAAAACCACGCCATCCACAATCGTAATCTGAGGCCATTCCAGTTGTCATTGCACATATTACGTACCTATTACTGCACTACAATTATTGAATTACCAACAACAGTAACTCCATCATTCAGAACAAAACATCCCAGCAGTTCCATGATGGTCAACTCAGGTTTATCTGTCATCAGGACCTCTTGTGTCTAGACTGACATACCCGGTGGCCCTGCAGCCAGAATCCTTTCATCAGCTTAATTTCTGCTTCTCACGCAGCTCTTTAAAAAGGCAGGAGAGTCCACCAAGCGGGGATCCTGATTTAACTTGCACTGCACTTCAAGAGTTACACTACGTTAGACTGAACAGGGTCACCTAGGGTTCGTCTACTCCAGACATGGGCAAACTTGGGCCCTCCAGGTGTTTTGGACTTCAATTTCCACAATTCCTAACATCCGGTAGGATTCAACCACCTATGGCTTGAAAAAATTCAGTCCCCTCTTGACTTTTGTTTTTATATAAAGAATACAATTTTACTATGCCACTATATACAACAGGACTTGAGCATCCACACATTTTTGGTATTCACAAGGAGTCCTTGAAACAAACCCCAGCAAGATATCAAGGGCCCAGAAATGCATCTACTTAGTTTTAACTAAGGTATATTTATTATATGTATTCACTAATTAATAAACAGACATTAGTAAATATAAATAATTTAACAAGATACCAAGAGCCCACAATATTTTTGCTACAAAAAAAAATGCCCAGGAATGTATCTAATTTTAACTGAGGTATATTTATTCTATGTATTAACTGATTAATATTAAACAATCATGAGTATAACTAATTTAACAGTAATTTATTAATAACAAGAGAAATATTCATTTGTGACTCCTGGATCAAGGGACATGGGCTTGACAAGCCTACCTCAGTTAATAGTTATTTATTGAGAAATAAACAAACAATTATTAATTAATTCTTAAGGCTTGTAGCCTTAAGAAAAATACTTCAGTTAACAGTTATCTATATAAATAAAAATGTAATGTTTGTTTGTGGGATTAACATAACTCAAAAACCACTGGACGAATTGACACCAAATTTGGACAGAAGACACCTAACAACCCAATGAGTGACCATTACTCAAAAATTGATTTTCTCATTTGGGAGTTGTAGTTGCTGGGATTTATAGTTCACCTACAATCAAAGAGAATTCTGAACCCCACCAATGAGAGAATTGGGGCAAACTTCCCACACAGAACCCCCATGATTAACAGAAAATTCTTAAGGCCATCCAGTCCAACTCCCTTCTCCAGTGCAAGAAAACGTAATCAAAGCCCTCCTGACCAAGAGCCATCTAGTCATAGATATAGAGAGATATATGACTCACACACACACAGATATAGTATCATAGATTTGAAAGGGACCCCTAAACAAGGACAATGCTCAATGTATTGTCGAAGGCTTTCATGGCTGGAATCACTAGGTTCTTGTGGGGTTTTTCGGGCTATATGGCCATGTTCTAGAGGCATTTTCTCCTGAGGTTTCGCCTGCATCTATGGCAAGCATCCTCAGAGGTAGTGAGGTCTGTTGGAATTAGGAAAATGGGTTTATATATCTGTGGAATGACTGGGGTGGGGCAAAGAGCTCTTATCTGCTGGAGCTAGGTGTGAATGTTTCAACTGACCACCTTCATTAGCATTTGAAGGCCTGGCTGAGCCTGGGGGAATCTTTTGTTGAGAGGTGTTTTGTTGAAGGACAATGCTATTTGCATGTTCCAGAGTAGGTCAACCAGACAATCTCTACATCAACACAAGCATAAAGAAATTACATATATTAGAAACCAACACTTTCTCATTACTTTATTTTCCAGATCACCAGAGTGGGCCACAGCAACGCGTGGCAGGGGATGGCTAGTTTATTAATAATACAACGGGTTCTCCCCCCCCCCCCAAAAGAGGAAGGCGGAGGACGCCAAACGGCGGACACCGGGAAACAAGGCCTTGGCTGGGCCTGACATCCTTGACCTGGCCTGTCCTGAAGCACAGAGAAGCCCTCCCTCCTTTCGTCCCTGTCTCCCTCACCGAACTGCGGCTGGTCGTCGTCGCGGCGAGGGCGGCGACCCTGGCCCGGCTGTCGAGCTCTGGCTCTCGAAGGCCCGCGGCAGGAGGAAGAGGAGAAGGAGAGGAGAGTGCTGCCACAACCACCACCACAAGAACGAGCCTCGCCGCCTCCCTCACACCTTCCTTCCTTCTGTCTGCTCTGGAGAACTGCGCAGCAACCTAGCGGCCCGGCGACGTCACATCCTCCCGTCGGGTTGGGAGCAAAGGATGAGGCGACGGCTGCGCGCGCAGATTTCCCCCTTCTTTCTCTCGAGGCGGTGAGCGAGGCTACGTCACGTGCGAGGGGGTGGGGTCGAAAAGAGCCGAGCACGCGCGTCACTTCTCACGTGGTTGGAGGAATCCTCGCGGCCCTAAGGAAGGCTGCTTCCCCCCCCTCCCTCGGTCAACCCCACCCCCACCCCCCAAGACTGGTCACGTGCCATCATCCTCTCTGTACTATTGTTGATGCCATTATTATTGTTTTATGAATGATTGCTAATCGTTCATAATGAATCATAATAATCAATAAATAGTAGCTAATAACAAACAAGTCAATTATTAATAGCAACAACAATGAAGCTATTATTAACATTTTGTTCCCATTTTAATAATAATAGCATTAGCAATACAATTATTATTAATTATTATTAAACTTTATTTGTACCCCGTTAGCATCTCCCGCAGGACTCGATGCGGCTTACAAAGGACAAGGCCTCAACACAACAACAGCAAAACAATAACAATACAATTTAAAGCAAAATAAAAACATAAACAATAAAAAAACAATACATCAATTACGCAATAAAAACCAGGGCCAGGCCAGTGATGGGTACAGGTTAAAAAGTGCTGGGTGTGGCAGGTGGTATTTAGATTTCCAGGCAAGTGCAGTGTGCAGAGAGTCTTAAACTCTAATGAAGTGCTTCTGGGACGTAGTGCTGGAGATTATCTTATTCCGGAAAGGCACATCAGAATAGCCAGGTCTTCAGATTCTTCCTGAAGACTGCCAACGTGGGTGCTAGTCCAATGTCTTTGGGGAGGGTGTTCCAGAGTCCGGGGGCAACCACAGAGAAGGCCCTGTCCCTCGTCCCCACCAAACGCGCCTGTGACGCAGGTGGGATCGTAAGCAGGCCTCTCCGGATGAACGAAGGGATCGTGTGGGTTCATACACAGAGATGCGGTCACGCAGGTAGGCAGGTCCCAAACTGTTTAGGGCTTTGTAGGTAAGCACCTGCACCTTGAATTGGGCTCAGTAAGTAAACGACAGCCAATGGAGCTCCTTAAACAGAAGGGTTGACCTCTCTCTGTAAGGAGCGCCAGTTAACATCCTGGCCGCCACTCATTGAACCAGTTGGAATTTCTGAGCCGTTTTCAAGGGCAGCCCCACGTAGAGCGCATTACAGTAATCCAATCTAGAGGTGACCAAGGCATGGACCACCCCGGCCAAATCAACGGTCGCAGCTGGTGCACAAGTCTCAATTGCGCAAAGGCCCTCCGACGACGCCTGAGCTGTGATGAATCCAGGAGAACTCCCAAACTGCGGACCTGTGACTTCAGGGGGAGTGTAACCCCGTCCAACACAGGTTGCCAACCTATACCCCGATCTGGTTTACGATTGACCAGGAGAATCTCTGGCTTGTCGGGATTGATCTTCAGCTTGTTCTTCCTCATCCAGATAGCCACAGCGGCCAGGCACTCGTCCAGCACCCGAGGGGCCTCCTTGGAATTAGATGGAAATGAGTAGTAGAGTTGTATGTCATCTGTCATGAGGTACAATAATACCTTGTCTCCTGTCCTGTGCTAATAATATAATGTAATGTAATATAATATATTGTATATGCATATATTTATAATATGTAATACAAATAATACTAATAATAATATAATTATATATTTTATATTACATGTAATATTACTAATCTTATTTATCGTGTCATCAGCAACCAGACCATTGTATTACATTTCTAACAAAACAAACAGATAAAAAAGCACAAATTTTGCAAACTTGGTTAAATGTCCTTTGACCAGTATCTGGCCACTTGGGAGTGCCTCTGGTGTTGCCGCAAGAAGGTCCTCCATTGTGCATGTGGCTGGGCTCAGGTTGCATTGAAGCAGGCGGTCTGTGGTTTGCTCTTCTCCGCACTCGCATATCGTGGATTCCACTTTGTAGCCCCATTTCTTAAGATTGGCTCTGCATCTCGTGGTGCCAGAGCACAGAATGTTCAGCGCCTTCCAAGTTGCCCAGTCTTCTGTGTGCCCAGGAGGGAGTCTCTCATCTAGTATCACCCACGGATTGAGGTGCTGGGTTTGAGCCTGCCACTTTTGGACTCTCGCTTGCTGAAGTGTTCCAGCGAGTGTCTCTGTAGATCTAAGAAAACTATTTCTTGATTTAAGTCGTTGACGTGCTGGCTGATACCCAAACAAGGGATGAGCTGGAGATGTCACTGCCTTGGTCCTTTCACTATTGGATGCTACTTCCCGGCGGATGTCAGGTGGTGCAATACCGGCTAAACAGTGTAATTTCTCCAGTGGTGTAGGGCGCAGACACCCCGTGATAATGCGGCATGTCTCATTAAGAGCCACATCCACTGTTTTAGCGTGGTGAGATGTGTTCCAAACTGAGCATGCATACTCAGCAGCAGAGTAGCATAGCGCAAGGGCAGATGTCTTCAATGTGTCTGGTTGTGATCCCCAGGTTGTGCCAGTCAGCTTTCGTATGATATTGTTTCTAGCGCCACTTTTTGCTTGATGTTCAGGCAGTGCTTCTTGTAGGTCAGAGCACGGTCCAAAGTGACTCCCAGGTATTTGGGTGCGCTGCAATGCTCCAGTGGGATCCCTTCCCAGGTAATCCTTAGAGCTCGGGATGCTTGTCTGTTCTTAAGGTGAAAGGCACATGTCTGTGTTTTAGATGGATTAGGGATCAGCTGGTTTTCCCTGTAATAGGCAGTAAGAGCACCTAGAGCTTCGGAGAGCTTCTAGTTCTACCATCTCAAAGCTCCCTGCTTGAGCAGTAATGGCACGATCATCAGCATAGATGAAACTCTCTGTCCCTTCTGGCAGTGGCTGGTCATTTGTGTAGATGTTGAACATGGATGGAGCAAGCACGCTCCCCTGAGGCAGGCCGTTCTTCTGTTTCCGCCATCTACTTCTCTGGCCCTGGAACTCAACAAAAAAGCTCCTGTTTTGTAGCAGGTTTCCTATGAGGCAGGTGAGGTGGTAGTCCTTTGTGATATTATACATTTTTCTCAGGAGGAGGCGGTGGTTCACAGTATCATAGGCTGCTGACAGGTCTATGAAGACAGCTCCTGTGATCTGCTGCCTTTCAAAGCCATCTTCTATGTGCTGAGTCAGGTTCAGCACTTGCGATGTGCAGCTTTTGCCTTTCCTGAAGCCAGCTTGCTGTGGGATCAGACAGGGGTCTATTTTTTCCATAATTCTATGCAAAATAAGTCTCTCCAGAACTTTGTAGAGGTGGCACAACAGGGAGATTGGTCTGTAGCTTTTTGGATCATTACGGTCTTTGCCTGGCTTCAAGATGGCGATGACTCTTGCTTTCCTCCAGATTTTGGGGATCTGACAGGATGCAGTGCAGTTGTTCATCAGCTCCAGCAGCCAGCGCCTGCTTTTGGACCAAAGTTCTTGATTTGTTCCATCCGTAGATCATCCAGGCCAGCTGCTTTGCCATTTTTTTTTGAGAGCCATGTCCAATTCAGTAGATGTAAAGGGTTCATGAAGGTTGTTGTTCTCAATCTCTTGTTGTCTGGCTATTGGTTTCTTTCCTACTTTGGTGGCAAGGTTGGGTTTCCCGTTCTTCAAGAGTTGGTGTGCTATCTGATCTGCCTTTATGTTGGCATGGGTATTAGTTTGTGAGGGGTCGTTGCTCAACCGTCTTAGCAGCCTCCACGCCTTCTGGCTGTTCCTGCCCATGTCGACCTCTGTGATGTTACTAATAATATTACAATATAATGGTATAGTAAAATATAGTAATATATAATACTGACATTGTACTATGCTAATAATATAATATATTGTATGTATATATATCTTGTAAGCCGCTCTGAGTCCCCTTCGTGGTGAGAGGGGCAGCATATAAATGTTGTAAATAAATAAATAATTCACCTCTAAATTATTAATAATCAACAATACAGCTACTGTGTTAATAATAATAATAATATCAATAATCTTAATAATAATAATAAATACATCGCATAGTCCTAAACACTTGAGAAGTGTGCGACTTGTGATTTTGTGACACGAAATCCAGCATATATATCTCGTTTGCTGTGTCATACAGTGTTTTTGTGCCAGTATAATAATAATAATAAACTTTATTTATATCCCGCACTGTCTCCAGTTGACATGTTGTTCCCTTCCTCAATCCAGTGGGAGAAACAGATAAAAAATAGTAATACGATTTGCATTATTGTTTTTGCTGCTATTAGTAATTAATTACTTATTGGTATTATTTCTTTTTGAAGTAGTTTTATTGATTGAAGTTACTCGAATACAAAATATAAAAAGGAGAAACATCAACTGATAGACAAATACATCTAATACAGGTCTTTTGTTTCCCCAAACTACTGCAATATTCTATCCAATCATTCCCCTCCTGCCCCGCACCTGTGTGTTGGAAATAAAATGCATACCATATCGTCCGCGTATGTCTTTACTTTAAAAGCATGTCCTTTTATTTTCACTCATTTGATGCCACTCTCTTTTCTAATTTTAATGTTCAATATTTCTAGCGTGCAACTAACCAATAAAGGTGACAAGGGACAACTTTGTCTCGTCTCTTTCTGTATCTGAATATAATTTAATAATTGACAATTTAGCTCTCTGTTTTGAATAAATGACATTTTTGGCTTTCTTAAATTGCTGACCAACTCTATATTGCTCTAATAGTACCTTTCCCATAAATTCCCAGCAGACATTATCAAAGGCTTTCTCTGCATTCAAAAATAGTAGAGCAATATCTCTATTAGTATCTTGCTCTGCCATCTCTAGTATTTTTAAAACAATCCTCACTTTCTGATTTAACTATCTTCTTGGAAGAAAGCCAACTTGATCTCCATGTAGTACTTTTTCTAAAATTTGTTTCAGTCTAATTTGTTACAGTAAGTTGTAACAGGATAGCATGTGTGTGTGAAACAATTCAAATGTGTTTGAAGATCACTGAAACCACAGGGCTACAAAACATTTTTCTATTGAGTGGAGTTAGGATTTGTATTTGTTTCTGAATAAATGAAAAATAATATTTGTTACAATAAGTGGAAAGCCTTAGTTGATAGCAAATTTTCTGCAGCATGCCTATTCGTCCTGCAACATTCAGGACATTCTTGGAAAATTAAATGAAAGGTCTGTCAAATTTCGCTTCAGTAGTGCCATCACTGGCAACATAAAACAAAGATAAATGTGAATAATGAGATAAACGTGATTCTACTCAGTACAGAATGAAAGTAACATGGCCTTTTATACTCAAAACAAATAGAGAATAACTGCTTGTAATGCATATTTCCAATTATAGAGTGTCTCTGTAAGAGCCTCATCTCACCAGAATTATGTATGATCCTCCCGTTTTTTATCACTCCTTTTTATTAAAGATATTTAAACATTGTTAGGTTTAATCCTGCATCTTATCTTTGTTAAACAAAATACTTGCAAATGCCTTGCAAGTTAAAAGAAAAATGAGACATTTCTAAGGCGAGTGTATTTTTATAATAAAATTATACACTGTTCAGGAATTGAGCACGTTTCTCAGGGTAACTTCATTTGTCTCCCCTCATTAATTTCCAGAAGGGTTAATGTGTTCAACCACTGCTACTCGAGCAACAGCATGCCATGACTTGCAGCTCAAAACCTATTATTTTTATCTTTTGCACTGGTCATTTTAATATGTATTGATTCACTCATGTGTTAACTGAGTTATGCGGTTTTTGACTGATTACGTTGTATTTGATATCTTGTTGTTCCCCATTTTGATCCATAGGGAGAGGGGTGTAAGAAATAATAACAATAATTATTAATAGAAGCAGCAATAAAAAATAATGCAGTTATTGTGATAATATTTCATTGCATAATAGTGGTCATTGCATAATAGTTGCACCCTGCTTTTGGGAAAGACGAAATTGGTTATTATTGTGATAATATTTCACTGCATAATAGTGGTCATTGCAAAATAGTTGCACCCTGCTTTTGGGAAATATGAAATTGGTATAGTTGTATCCTTAGGCAATTGAATTAAGGGTGGGACAGCCCATTTGGTGCTGTGGGGCTTGGATCAAGGCAGACAAGAAAAAATAATAATAATAACAATAATAAGTTCTATTGTTGTTGCTATCATTATTATTATTTCATTGGTGGGGTTTGGAATGCTCTGTGATTGTAGGTGAACTATAAATCCCAGCAACTACAACTCCCAAATGTCAAGATTCTATTTCCCCCAAACTCCACCAGTGTTCACATTTGGGCATATTGAGTATTCGTGTAGTTTGGTCCAGATCTATCATTGTTTGAGTCCACAGTGATTTCTGGATGTAGGTGAACTACAACTCCAAAACCAAAGGACAATGCCCACCAAATGCTTTCAGTATTTTCCGTTGATCATGGGAGAACCCTGTGCCAAGTTTGGTTCAATTCCATCGTTGGTGGGGTTCAGAATGTTCTTTGATTGTAGGTGAACTATAGATCCCAGCAACTACAACTCCCAGATGACAAAATCAATTTTCTTGTGGTTTTTTTTTCGGGCTATAGGGCCATGTTCTAGAGGCATTTCTCCTGACGTTTCGCCTGCATCTATGTCAAGCATCCTCAGAAGTATGCTTGCCATAGATGCAGGTGAAACGTCAGGAGAAATGCCTCTAGAACATGGCCCTATAGCCCGAAAAAACCCACAAGAACCTAGTGATTCCAGCCATGAAAGCCTTCGACAGTACAAAATCAATTTTTTTTAGTGAAGGACATACATTTGGTTGTTACGTGTCTTGTGTCCAAATTTGGTGTCAATTTGTCCAGTGGTTTTTGAGTTATGTTAATCCCACAAACAAACATTATATTTTTATTTAGGTAAGATAGATGAATCATTCATGAAGCATTAATAACAGCAACAATAATACAGAGAGGAGGGAGGGAGGGAGGGGGAGCAGCCTTCCGAAGGGCCGCGAGGACTTCTCCCACCACGTGACGAGCGCGCTCGGCTCTTTCCGACCAACTACCCCCCCCCCCCCCCCACCTACACGCACGTGACGTAGGTTCCCTCACATCCTCGAGAGCGAGAGGAGAAGGCAATCTGCGCGCGCCGCCATCCTCTGCTCCCAACCCGACGGGCGGATGTGACGTCGCCGGGCCGCTAGGTTGCTGCGCAGTTCTCCAGATCAGGGGGAGGGAGGAAGGCAGCGAGGCTTAGCGCGGAGGCGGCTCGTTTCTTGTGGTGGTGGTTGCGGCAGCGCCCTCCTCTTCCTCCTCTTCTTCGTCTTCCTCCTCCTCCTCCCGCCGAGGGCCCTCGAGAGACAGAGCTCGACAGCCGGGCCAGGGTCGCCGCCCTCGCCGCGACGACGACCAGCCGCAGTTCGGTGAGAGAGGGAGAGGGAGGGAGGGAGAGAGAGAAGGCCTCTCTCTGCGCTAGGCCAGGCCAAGGATGCCGGGCCCAACCAAGGCCTTGTTTCCCAGCGCCCTAGAAGCGCTTGGCCGCCTTTCTCTTTTGGGGGAGAGCCCGCTGCAAATGGTGTGCCTGACCCCAGTTTTAGTTTCAGGGGCAGAAGGATATTTTTAGATCCTCCCCACAAATTATCCAGGCTTTTATGTCTGTGTGTGTGTGTGTGTGTGGGGTGTGCTTTTATTCTGTGCTTTGCGCTCTGTGGTAATCGTCGGTAACAAAAGAAAACGGCACGTACAAGGCTCCGATTTTGAAGCGGTAGCCGGGAGAGTTGCAGCCGTTACCCTGGCTGCCAATTGCGAAAGGCTACCTCGCACTGAATGCGTGCAATGGATGGCCAGATGTTCAGGCTGCAAGCCTATGAACCTCCATCGGGAAGTCGTACATGAATCCTATTGAGGACACCGAAATCATAGAATCAAAGAGTTGGAAGAGACCTCACGGGCCATCCAGTCCAACCCCCTGCCAAGAAGCAGGAATATTGCATTCAAATCACCCGACAGTGCTGGGCCACTCATAACAACTACCATGTTAGACTACACAGAGAAGCCATTGGAATCCACAAGCATGTGGACAATGTCAACAGAAAGGAAACCATGAAAATGAACAAAATCTGGCTACCAGTATTTAAAAAAAATTCTAAAATCAGACAAGAAACAATCAGGGCCAGCTAACAGCTCCCGACAAAGGATTCCCCCAGGCAGCAACCAGCCAGGCCTTGAAATTGCAGGCTATTAAATACTGAAAGCCTATGAACCTCCATCGGGAAGTTGTACATGAATCCTATTGAGGACACAGAAATGCTGAGCCACTCTTAACAACTACCATGTTAGACTGCACAGAGAAGCCATTGAAATCCACAAACATGTGGACAATGTCAACAGAAAGGAAACCATGAAAATGAACAAAATCTGGCTATCAGTATTTTTTTAAAAAAAACATCTAAAATCAGAACAGGAATAAAGAGCAAGGCCCAAAAAGCAAGGGAATTCCAGACAAACAATCAGGGCCAGCTAACAGCACCCAACAAAGGATTCTCCCAGGCAGGAACCAGCCAGGCCTTGAAACTGCAGGCTATTAAATGCAAATCAAGGTGGCAAATTGCAACATTCACACATACCTCTAGCAGACATGAGTTCTTTTCCCAATCCTAGACATTCCACAGATATATAAACCTCACTTGCTTAGTTTCCAATAGACCCCTCAACCTCTGAGGATGCCTGCCATAGATGTGGGCAAAAACGTCATGAGAGAATGTTTCTGGAACATGGTCATACAGCCTGGAAAACTCACAGTAACCCAATGAATCCTGTTATTTATTGTTAATACTCAAATAAGTAGCTGTTAACTTAGACAGGCACTATATCCCAGGATCTTATCCCAGATTTTCTGTTTTAAAAGAAGATTATATGAGTCCGCAATGCCAGATAATCTGGGATAAACAGAAAATCTGGGATATAGGGCCTGTCTAGATGGGCCTTGAGATATACCATGTCCCTTAACCTGGAACTCATCAATTCATAATAGTTGTTATATTATTTATAAATAACTGTTAATAGAGGTATACTTGTTAAGGCTGCAAGCCTACATTCCTTAATCTGGGAGTCATAAATTAATAATATGTGTTTGTTTATTTCCTAATACATAACTTTTAACTGAGATATGTGTTGTTGAAGGCTTTCATGGCCGGGATTACTGGGCCATACAGCCAGAAAACTCACAGCAACCCAATTGAGATATGCTTGTTACAGCTGCAAGCCTATGTTCCTTGATCTTGGAGTTGCAAATTAATCATACTTATTTTATTATTAATAATACATCACGGTTAATTGAGTTATACTTACAGTTATCTATTTATTATTAATAAATGAATTCATATAATAAATATGTCTCAGTTAAAACTAGGTAGATGTGTTCCTGGGCATTGTTTCTGTAGCAAGAATACAGTGGGCCCCTCATATATTGCTAGGGTTTGTTTCCAGGACTCATGAATATCAAAGTCTGGGTGCTCAAGTCCTGTTATCTACAGTGGCAAAGTAAAATGATGTTCTTTATATTAAATAGCAAAATCAAGAGGGGACTGAATATTTGCAAGCTGTAGGTGGTTGAATTCCTGGATATGGAATATGATTGCAATATGGAAAGCACAGGGGTAGGATCCTGCAGCACAAAAAAAGAAGAGTGGTTCAGTTTCAACAAACCTTTTTGTTGAAAACTAACAATATGCACATGTGAAATGATGCAGCTGGCTCAAGCAAGCCATCCCTAATTTCCAACTACTTGAAAGCTTTTTTGAAAATACGTCCAGGAGCAGCACCCCCCCCCCCCATAAATCTATATGATCAAACATATAGATTTATGCTCTTTAAAAAACCATACCGGGGTCTCTGGATAGTGCTACTGTTTACCTATTCTGGGACGCTCAAATATCCATTCACAGTTTAGGTTTGGACTTCTGTGAACTTGATTATGTACAGATTTGATTAAAAGTGCTCTCTTTAGGAATGTCTAGATATCCATTGTGATTGTGTGGTCAGCTTCCTCCAGTTATGTGGGATGACTTAAGAGATTTCTAGAGATAATACCTCTCTAGGAATCTCTAGGTCCTCCAGTGCAATTCTATGTTCAGCTTCCAGTACAAGTTGACCATAGAATCCTGCTGGAAAACAGAAAATTCTAGAGAGGTGTTACCTTGAATTTTTAAAAAATCGGTATCTTTATTTACAATTTTTCACTCTCATTGGGGTGTTTTGTCCGTAACACCAGGGGAATGTGGAGAGGTGGCTGTAGTAGAATAGGCCAAAGTAAATTTCAGTTTTTCCCACCTTAAGTTTAATTGCATTTCTTATTGCAGACATGCTGCTGCAACCACACTGAACATCTGTATTTTTTCAGTCCTCCTTTACCATGCTTCCAATGCAATGCTGCTAAAAACTATCCACTAGGCAGTGTATGAGGAAAAAAAGGGACTGAGCAGGAATTAAAAAGCTTTATTAAAAAGGCACTTATTTGTCAGAAGCTTTAACTGAGTTATGGCTGTATTTACAAGGAAACACGATCAGATTGCAAGGATATAATTATCTGCTGAAGGACACACTTAATTTGGTGATACTTGGTTTTCTGCAGGCAAACAGGGTTATGCTCTTGCATGCACATGCACACATTCTACAAGGTTGGAGTTGTCCGTGTTTCAAACAAGTAATCTGAAATGCAGATAATTGTGTTTTAAACCTAGAGCACTGACTTCTATAGCTGTTCACAAAAGTGCATTTGTATGTAGCCTTCTGTAATATGCTTACAGCAGTCCAGATGTTTTCTTATTTACCATGGATATTAAATATTCCTTAAAGGCAGAAAATCACAGGGTAAGCAGTGTTTTACTGCATAACACCAGTTGTCAGCATTACATAATTTTACAGCATATATATAAATGTGCCTGTAATTACATGTGTGAGAGTTTTGTTTCTGTAAATAAAGAGAGTTCCCGCTGAATGAAATACATACATAGGCCTGTTAGACTGATTTGCAATAGCTTACTTGTCTTTTGTGTACACCACTGTCAATATACTTCTTTATAAAGTGATAAGCCTAAAGAATTGGCTTGCATTTTCAGGTTTGAAATGTGGTTGTATAGATATAAGAGTTGATTTAAGAATGGATTTTAGCATACTTAAACTGTACATTGTATTGTTTTCAGCACTGATAGTCACTTTGAGCCTTTCTTAAGATAGAAAAAGCGGCATATAAATAAATACATATCATTGTCGTCATCTTCACATTTTAAATTGTCATGGATAGAAACGTCGTTGCCACATGGACACTACAGTAACACCTTACAGTCTTTATAGGTAGAAGAGAATATTCAGATAGCTCCAAAACGTCCTCATTCTGAGATTCATCATTTAGCGCAAGCATGGGCAAACTTCAGCCCTCCAGGTGTTTTATAGTTCAACCCCAGAAATCCCAGCCAGTTTACAGGATGTTAGGAATTGTGGGAATTGAAGTCCAAAACACATAGAGCATGATTTTTCTGAAGTTACACTTTGATAGGCACCATCTTTATATGGTATTACATTAATAAAGCAAATGCATTAAAGGTGTTTGTTGCTGCCATAATATTTCACTGTATTTCACTTATTACAAAATTTGTGCATTCTTCCTTTTTGTTTTGCACATTCTAGATAGCTAGACACATGCAGGTTTAGTTTTGCCATCATAGTGTGAAACAGTTGGCAACTTTTTTTTCTAGTGTCAGGAGTGACTTGAGATACTGCAAATCACTTCCGGTGTTAGAGAATTTGCTATCTGCAAGGATGTTGCCCAGGGGACTCCTGGATGTTTTATCATTCTGTGGAGGCTTCTCTGATGTCCCTGCATGAGAAGCTCGAGCTGACAGATGAGGGCTCACCCCGCTCCCTGGTTTCGAACCTTTCGATCAGCAATCCTGCCATCACAAGGGTTTAACCCATAGTGCCACTGGAGGCTCCTTTTGGCAACTAATGACTATATTTGAAACTTAGTTTCTGTAAAAGAAAGACATTAAAATGCTGAACCATGAAATTGCACCACTAAACAACATAAATAGTTCAGTTCTCTAATTTTATATAACGTATCAATGATAATGTAACGTGGAAATGGTAACACAACTTTAGAATTAAGGCATTTCAATTTCTTTCAAAAAGTTTTTTGTTTAAAAATGGTTCTTTTCATAACCTTGGTCTCGACATTTCTGGAAATTTTGTCTGTTTAGTTCCTGAATACTATTTTTTCTCATTTTATGAAGAGCTGGATAATTATGCTAACTTTCCTGTGATGATGAACAAGTTTCATTCTGATACCAGTTCTCATCTTGCAGTGAGATCTAACATGCAGCCTGTCGTAGTAAGGTGCTCTCATAACTTCTTATTTCAAAGAGAA